CCTCGCCTTGAACACGCCAGGATCCCATATGGGCGCTGGTTCTAATCCCGGCAGCTCCACTTCTCATCCATCTCCCTGTTTGTGGCCTGGGAAAGCAGTCGAGGACAGGTTAAACTCTTGGGTTCCTGCACCTGTGTGGGAGACCCGGAAGAGCTCTTGGCTCCTAACTTCGGATCGGTACAGTACCGGCCACTGTGGTCACTTGGGGAGCGAATCATCTGACAGAGGGTTTTTCTGTCTCTCCTCCTCTCTGTATATCTGACTTTGCAATAAAAATAAATTTTAAAAAGACCTAATTAAGCCAACTTAGACATTCCTGAACTGCAGAAGAGTTAATGAATCAGTGTCTCCTTTGTGTCTTCCATTCTTCCCATTTCGAATAAAAACGCTTAGTAATTATCTAGTGCCTGTTCCAACAATGTTTGCTGTATATGTGAGAAGGTAACTTTTTGTTTTTAGTTTCACAGGTCCAAGTATGGAAAAGAATTACACAAGGGACTAGGCTTACAGAACTACACCCAGGGAACCTCATCCAAAACATGGCGTTATTTAAATAACCAAACTCTGGACTTCCAGGTGATGCCAAATTTGAGCCTTCAGGGTCTGGCATTGTGGTGAAGCAGACCGAGCCTCTGCAACACCAGTACCCTATGCTGGTGCCACTTCAAGTCCTGGCTGCTCAATTTTCCTCCCAGCTCCCAGCTAATGGTGTCTACGAAGACAGCATAGGATGACCCAAGTGCTTGTGCTCCTGTTCCAATGTGGGATATGTGAAAGACACTCCAGGCTCCTGGTGCTGGCCTGGTCCCTGCCCTGGCAGCTGTGGCTATCTGGGAAGAAAACCAGCAGATGAAAGGCTCTCTAATTCCGCATTTCAAATAAACAGATCTTAACAAGGAAAATCACCTGCCTGTCACTTTGCAGCCAGAAAACCCAGCTAAGATCTAGTGATTTCCTGAATCACAGAAGCCATGATATCTATTTATTTCTTTAAGTCCCTAAACTTAGGGCAACGTATTATAATGAGATGACCACTTAATAAAGATGGTAAAATCTGAACAAATCTAGTCAAGATCAGAAGACAACCAATAATCACTTGAAAAAACATGCATTAGGGAAATTCTAAAGGATCTGAAGACAGAGATGAGAAGCTGATGCAGAGAAAGGGGCCAAAGCACAAACCTTATGTTTAGCACTGGAGAAGGTTCCCCAACTGCAGGGGAGAAAGTGGGGCCAGGAACAGGTGAGCCCTCACTGATTTCCTCCAAAGGTGGAGTCTGAGGTAAAACATCAGGACGACCAAGGTGGACATCTGGAAAAATGGGAAGAAAATGAATAAAAAAGGAGAAAGCAGGGTAAAAGAGCTAAGGAAAAAACATGCAGCAATTTTTTTGTTCCTGGACAGAAATGAGGATTATGGGTCCTGGCAAGAAGGCAAAGGCCCAGGAAGAGGGTGGGAGCGCCCAATCACATGGGGACCCCAGCCCTGGCGCTGACCTGGCTCCACTTCTGCCTTTGTTGTCACTTGTGCCTTGTGCTCCCCAGAGATGGATGGCTGGTAAGTAACGCAGGCGTTGTTGCTGGGGCCTGCTCGCCGAGAGAAAGATGAGCCAGACCGAAACTTTTTGGAAGGAGAGGGCTTCACTTCAAAAGGGAAAGAGAGAGCCTACTTAGCACCCACCTCAGAAACCATCACCAAGACACAGATACAAATGGCTAGTGTCCCCAACACACACTCAAAGCTCTTCTCCTGCAAAGGGGAAGGAGGGTTAATGTAAATGAAGAGGTAGGAGTGAGGGGTGGTATCTGTTCATTTGGAAAGAAGCAGAAAATCTAAAGGAAAGATGACACATACCCACCTGCCTAATCCTATATGCAATCGCAATGCGTTGGTGCCTGCATAATGAAAGGTCTTCTATTCATTCCACTAATGCCCTCCCAGCAAAATCTAAGACACTCCTTTCATGCGGCATCTTTTTGGCACTTACAGACATAAGCACTGAAGTAATGCATACTTGCTGATTTATTACTCTGAAAAGACTGAAAGGCTCTTAGGACTGTCTGGTGCACTTTCTACCTTAACAAAGGTCTACTGCTGTGTATGAGCAAAGGAAGAGCTGAGACGTGCCAGCAGCAATAGCACAGAAGGTTAAGAAAGCAGTACACTGACACCCCTCTCTTCCCCAGCCAGAATTTTAAGAGAGTAAGAACATTTGCTAAGCAGAAATTAATAAAAGCTTCTACCACCTGATCCAGGGTTGCTTGACATTTGGATCATGAATAAACTGCCACAATGGTAACATCCTCGCCTATTCTGTACAGAAAAATTGAGTTCTGCTTGTCTGAGTCTTTAGCATGAATTCTCCACCCACAACTAAACATTTCTTTGCCATCCCACCAGTTACCCAGAAGAGGCCCTCACCTCAGCGCCACATGTAGGGAGAGCCAGGGGAAAAGCAGCGACTCGGAAACGACTGGGACAGACAGAGTGACTGACACAAGGACGAGAAGCAGCTCTCACAGGACGTGGGCACAGCAGGAGAGGCCGCAGGCCTTGGCAGCTCCCTGACATAGGTGTCCTGCCCCTCATTTCTTGGGGTAAGGGAGCCACTGGGGGGTCATCTGGTAGAATCCACTTACAGGGGATCTTCTTGAACACTGTATTGCACATGAAGCGCTGGAACCGTTCAGCATAGAAGCTTGGACGATGCACCGATACGGTGTCCTGCAAAGCAGAAAAGATCACTACAGAGTTAGAGCAAGAGACTAAACAAGGACTTCTCTTCCAAAGGCTGTTTTTCCCTATCACAGAAGGCGAAAATCCCGAAATGGAAACAAACAAAAAGGCAGAAATGGAGGGGGAAACTGCAGACAAAGAAGGAAACCTCTTCTACTCACTCCATCATGTACCAATGCTTTCCAGGAGTGCTCCAACTTCTTAACAAACCTGCCAAGAAAACTTTGTATTAACAATCTCATCATTTTTGAATGAATGTCCTTAATAGTTTTCTAGATGTGGTGATTAAAGAAAGAATGGTATTAAAAACCCTGAAAAGACATAGCTGAGAGGGTATATCCTTTACGGTCTGTTGCAACAAGCCCAGTAGTGGTTCAATGTGGCAACCAATGTTGTTTCCAAATACACCAATTACTTCCCCACAGAAAAAAAGGCAGCTTAGGGCTCAGCACAGTAGCCTAGTAGCTAAAGTCCTTGCCTCACACACGCTGGGATCCTATGTGAGCACCGGTTCTAATTCCAGAGGCCCTGCTTTCCATCCAGCTCCCTGCTTGTGGCATGGAAAAGCAGCTGAGGATGGCTCAAAGCCTTGGGACCCTGCACCCCCATGGTAGACAAGGAAAAGGCTTCTGGCTCCTGGTCTTGGGGAGTGAAACATCTTTCTCTTTCTCTCTGTATCCCCCCACCAAAAAAAAAAAAAAAAAAAAAAAAGTCTTAAAAAACAAAACAAAAAAATCAACTTATACGTCCCCAGCAAGGCAAGGATAAGAATATTTATTGCAATCATTAAAAAAAAAATTATTACTGGGGCCTGTGCCATGGCTCAACAGGTTAACCTCCCACCTTCAAGTACTAGCATCACATATGGGTGCCAGTTCATGTCCCAGCTGCCCACTTCCCTTCCAGCTCACTGCTTGTGGCGGGGGAAAGCAGCGGATAATGTACCAAGTCAATGGACCCTGCATCCATGTCGGAGACCTGGAAGAAGTTCCTGGCTCCTGGCTTCAGCTCAGCTCAGCTATAGCTGTTATGGCTATTTGGGGAGTGAATCAGTGGATGGAAGCTCTGTCTCTCCTCCCTGTAAATCTTTCCCATAAAAATAAATAAATCTTAAAAATGCCTCTCTCCCTCTGTGTTAACTCTACCTTTCAAATAAATAAGTAAACCTTTAAAAACTATTATTGTAAAAGGAAAACTAGAAGAATAAATGGACAATTCTAAAAAGCATAGATAAAATTGGATAATATTTTGAATCAGTGAATCAAATATTCAAGTCCTCATTAGTACATGACATAGAAATAAAACTGGGATCTAATGGTTCTAATTTCTCCCTTATTACTACTTCACTGTCTCCTTTATTTCACAGGCTAAGTCTTTAAAAGTACAGTCCCTTTCTTATTTTTAAAAGATGCAGAAATTAAAAGCTATCATCCATCCACACGATTCACTTTCCAAATGGCCACACAGCTGGGGCTGGGCCAAGGCCAGGGCCAGGTCAACGCCAGGAGCTTGGAGCTCCTTCTGGGTCTCCCATGTGTAGTGGCAGGCATCCAAGTACTTGGGCCAACTTTTGCTGCTTTCCCATGTCCGTAGCAAGGAGCTGGAACTGCAGTACAGCAGCTGGGACTTGAGCCAGTTTTCCAATACAAGATGCTGCTGTTGAAATCAGCAGCTTAACCCACTGTGTCTCAACACTATCCCCACAAGCTAACACTTCACAGAGTACAACAATTCTCGTAAATTTTCCTGTCTTTGGAAAGAGGGTTGTTGCCAGCTTTATTCGAATGTGGAGGATGACTCTTCCCACAGGTTTTTCAAAGAAACAGGCAGATGGCATATTCAATGCCCTGGTACTTCTGAGGACTGACTCAACTTTCCACAGAAGATACATATTGCTTGAGGAGATAGGCAGTAGTTTAAAGAAGTTAGGGTAGAAGACAAAACCAAGGAAATAAATCACATGAAAGGCATCAGGGTAAGCTGACAAACTAAAGAACTTGGCAACAAGCTCATCTGCAAACAAACTATGAGTGGCTAGCCACACCTATCCTGTTGCCAAATTTGGGAATCCTATGTTGCTCACCTGTAGGATTGCAGAATATCAATGATGCCAATGTAAAGCAGGAGCCTTTCCCCTTTATTATTCCGGGCAGGGATGCCACCCATGCTGGAGAACACAAAGGAAAAAATAAGAAAATTCGTTAGAAATAGAGGCTTTTCTTAAACCTCGAGTCAGGGACATGGCATTCATTGAGACTGACAGAATGATCTTATGAGAGAGAGTTCTGTGTGTCCTGCCGGACTCCCCTGTGGCAACTGAGCACAGGCAAGAGGGGGTGCCAGGGTTGGGACAATCATCTCTCGATAGCCACTAAGACACTCTTCTTGAGAATCATGTCACATGACATCTCAAGAGAAACATGCCTTCTACAAAGTCTGTAACAGTTCACGATAAGGTCCTAAAATAGCTTACAGAGTGGTGTCTACATTCCTAGTGGAACTCTTATTTTTAGAATTTACTTGAGAGGTAGTCAGAAAGTATACCCATCTACTGGTTTACTCCTTAAACTCCTGCAGGGACTGGTGGGCTCAAACTGGGAGTCAGGAACTCAACACAAGTCTCTCAAATGGGTAGAAAAGGTTCAATTACCTGGGCCATTACCACTCCTCCCAGGATCCACGTTAGCAGGAAGATGGAGGTATGAGTGGAAATCAGAAACATCTGATTATGGGACAGTAGCACCCTGATCCGTAGCTTAATCTTTAAGCCAAGTACCTATCCTGACTGTATGTGTGCTTCTTAGGTCTTTGATCTTGGAAAGTTCTCCTTCACTGATATATTACAAGCTGCAATCAAAGAAGTTGTTCTTTCATAGTCTTTTTTTTCTTTTTAAAGATTTATTTGTTATTTTTATTGCAAAGTCATATATAGAGAGAGGAGGAGAGACAGAGGGGAAGATCTTCCATCTGATGATTCACTCCCCAAGTGACTGCAATGGCTGGAGCTGAGCTGATCTGAAGCCAGGAGCCAGGAAACTCCTCCAGGTCTCCCACACGGGTGCAGAGTCCCAAGACTTTGGGCCGTCCTTGACTGCTTTCCCAGGCCACAGGCAGGGAACTGGATGGGAAGTGGAGCCGGCAGGATTAGAAACAGTGCCCATATGGGATCCTGGCACGTTCAAGGTGAGGACTTTAGCTACTAGACCACCATGCGGGCCCTCATAGTTTTAAGAAAGCGCATTCTGTAGTTCTGTAAGCATTAATGTTGCTGACCCTTCTGGGTGGGTAATTAGACTAAGGGTTAAGACACCTGCATCCTATATCTGGGCTTGATTCCCAGCTCTGGTACCTGATTCCAGCTTATTGCTGATTCAAATCTGAGAAATATTGATGACTTAAAAACTGCATTTGTGAGGGCCTGGCATGGTAGCCTAGCAGCTGTAAATCCTCGCCTGAACGCGCCGGGATTCCATATGGGCACCAGTTCTAACCCCGGCAGCCCCACTTCCCAGCTAGATCCCTGCTTGTGGCCTGGGAAAGCAGTCGAGGACGGCCCAAAGCCTTGGGACCCTGCACCCATGTGGGAGACTTGGAAGAGCTCAAGGCTCCTGGCTTCGGACTGGTTCAGCTCCAGCCGTTGCGGTCACTTGGAGAGTGAATCATTGGATGGTGGATCTTCTCTGTATCTCCTCCTCTCTTCATATATGACTTTGCAAATAAATAAATAAATAAATAAATAATTCTTTAAAAAAGAGAAAGCGAGAAAGAAAAAGAAAAAAAAGATCATCTCCTTCCTTTCCCTGGCCTCTCATGCCTGGATCCCAGACGACAGCCACCATGTGCAGGTGGTGAGCTGTCCCCTGGTCTGCCTGGGTTCCGGGGGCTGCTACCTTCATGGTGAGTACACCGAGGGGGGAGGTCTCCGTGATTGCCAGGTCCAGGGCCCAGCCGCTACCCTCATTGGGCAGTGAATGGGATTGGGGAGGGATGCGACCTTGGGCCTGGGAGTTTAAACTTCTAGCAGCTTCCTGGCTGCTGGTGGATCTCAGGATGGGGCGTCTCATGCCTGGATCCCAGATGACAGCCACCATGTGGTGAGCTGTCCCTGGGCGGCCAGTGCACCATGACAGTTACTCTTCCTTTGAAAAACTTGAAATCACTAAACAATGCTGACCACCAAATACCAGTCCATGCAAAAGCTATGGCTCAGAGCTTGTCCAGCAGAATCATACCCTGTTACCTGACATGATGATGGATTAGGAGAAGGGTCACATTAAGCAGGATCATTACATTCACTAGCACTAGAACCATAACTGGGGCAGATTCTGTGAGGGATGTGTGGGCCAAACCCTGTGGAAATTCTAGCCCCACTGGTTAGTTTAAGAGATGGCGTGGTGATGGACTAAGCCAGGTGTGATCAAGGATCCTGCCATCATCACAGGTAAGGAACCCACAACAGTCTGGACTGGTCAAGGCAGCAGCACCCGAATGTGCATCCTGAATAGGGTGTGGGGTGGGCCAGGCTGCAACGTTCACCAGCTCATACAAGGCCAAATGGAAGGCCAGACTGCGCCGGGCACTGGCCTAAACCCAATGGCATGTATGAGAACTGGGTCTGGGAGTGGATTAAGTAGAGGAACTTGGGAAACTCTCTTGGTGAATGAGAGCTCCTGCTGGTGAGCATGTGGTCCAGACCTGGGGGTCGGACAAGCTGGGCAAAGTAGCTCCAACAGCTGGCTAATGTGTCAATTGGTAATGGAACAGGGTGGGCTGGGCAGGACTGAGCAAACCTTAGCCCACAAGCGAAACTAGAGACCAGGAGGGAGCACAGGTTATGCTGAGCTAGGCTCTTGCATCTACTGGTCTGCATGAGCCAGGAATGCTAAGCCACAGTGCCTAAGGCAGAGGTCAGGACAGGTGAGGGATTGGACCAAGCTGAGTCAGAGCAACCACTGGCATGCACATGATCTATGGCTGGGAACAGGCCCGGTTGGGGAGCTAAGGGGACAACCCTAGCTGAGTTGAGGCTCCCACTAAGGGGCGTGTGGCCTGGAATGGGGGGCTGTGTTCTGAACAGGAAACGGTTGCAGTCTCCCTTGGCACAAGTGTGGACTGGGATTGGATGCACCGAACTGGGCCAGACTCCAACACCCCCTGGTGTCCTGGAGGACCAGGAAAGATGTGGGATGGACTAGGTAAGGTCTCAACCCCAACTGAGCCATGTGTGAGCCATATGTGGGTATGGACGAGCCATGGCTGGGCTGAAACATCCAACAGCAAGAACCAGTTCGGGTTGAAGGCCAGTCAGGAAAAGCCATTGTTCCTGCTAGACAAGTGGTGGACTGAGTAGGGTTGGCTCATGGACCCACTGGTAAGCATGAAACCTGGCATTGGGAGAGGTTCTGATGGAGGAGCCTGGGCAACTCCTCTGGCAGGACACAGACCCGGCAGGTAAGCGCAAGAAACATGATAGGAAACAGCCCAGAACAGGCCATGGAAAGTTACCCACTGGCATACAATTGGCAGGAGTTCGGGGAAGACCAGGCTGAATCTGTCCACGTCATCCACTGGCAAATCCAAGCACCAGGACAGTGTGGGTTGAGCCGGGTGTGGTCGCAACAAAAACTAGTGCACAATACGGAATGCCAAGGTGAGGTTGCCTGTGCCAGAAGTGACCACAGCACCCAACCAGCACACATGAGAACCAGGAAGGGAGGGTGCGGAGCTGGCAGGGGGAATAAGGGAGGGTTCCTTTGCTGGACAGCTACTCCCACTAGAGAGCATAAGCTGGGATAGGGGCAGAACAGACTAAGCAGGGCTACAACACCTGTGGGCCTCAGGTGGACTAGATGAGGGAAAAGCCAGGCTGGGCTGATTATTCCTACTGGTGCAAGCAAAATTAGAGTGGGTGAGGGTTGTTTGGGCTTAGCCACAGCATCAGCGGGCAGAAGCTGGCACTGGGGGCTAGTTCTGTCAAGCCAAACCACAGAACTATTTGGAGAGTGCATAATCCAGGAGAGAGGCCTGGGAGGGAAATAGTGGGCTCATCCCTATTGGGTTACTTCTATGGGAGGGCACGAAAACCAGGACAGGGGCTGGGGTGGAATGGTGTGTGGGACAGACTGGACTACTGCTACACATACTGGCAAACCAGGGTAGGGGGCGGGCCTGGTGGGAGTTATTGTGGGTCGCTCCAACTAGGCTGCAGCTCCCACTGGTTTATGCGAGGGCCGAGAATGTGATGGGCAGCACCAGGCTAGACTGCAACACCCACTGGTTACAGTGGAAGTCGGGACTGAAAACAGAATCAACCCAGCAATTGCAACCACCAGCTGATCAGGGCCGTGGACCGTGCCGGGCCCTGTACTTGCTAGCACATATAAGAATCTGGTTTGAGAACACCTCAGACAAAGTTTCTTTGGAGATCTCCCCATCAAAATGCTGGACTCAGAACCCTAACCAAGAAAAGAGAGAAGACAGAACAGGTCAATCAACCATCTCAGCTATATGTTGACAGCGAAATACGGGGCAAACAGAGACTCTATGATGGACTATGACAATCAGTGGATTCTTCAAAGACCTCATAGTGCTTGGAGTGGCAAGACTGGCAGCAATTTATAACTGGTGAACTATCAAAACCACTTGAAGAAGAACCTCGGAGCATACCCTACACGCAGGACCTGGGGAGGGTGGGAAATTCGGTGGGCCTTCTTTAATACCCCCTTTAAACATGAAGGAAACAATATGGAAATAAGAGTCTTACCCACTGTCCTATAACCCTTGAACCTTTTTACCCCAATTAGCTATGTAAAGATTGTGAAAAATATAAGAAAGAAAGAAACAAAGAAAGAAAGGAAGAAAGAAAGAAATGCATTTCTCCCACCTGTGTGTGAGATTGGGATTGAGGTATGGCTCTGGGCTTTAGTCCAAGTGAGGCCTGGCAGCTCTAGCCTTGCAGATACACAGGCAGTGAATCAGCAGAGAAGACATCTCTGCCTACCAAAAATAATCATTGTTTTCCTAAAGCCACTCGTTTTTAGGAACTAGGTCCCATCCCCAAGAAGAAATGTCTATGCTCTCTTCTCTGATGCCCCGGCCCACTCACTGGTCATCAGTCTCCATAGTGCCACCCCGCCGAGCCTCGCCCTGAATGGATTCCATGGCTGTGGAGTACAGAGCCTTTTGGGGTGCTGGTCTGCGAGTGTCCACTGAGTACTGTGTCTCGCTGTTCAAGGGCTCCCGTTGTGCATGGTCTATGTTGTGGATTGACATCAAGAGGCTGTAGTCCATTATCTTGAAGCTTTGGAGTACCTAATGGAAAGGAAAAACAGGATCTGAACCTTGGAAAGTTTAA